GACAGAGTAGCAGGGGTAGGGGTCTGGGGACCATGCTTTCAGAGGACATCTAGGTCAACTGACATAACAAAGCTTATTAAAAAAATGTTCTGCATCCTACTTTGGTGAGTGGCGTCTGGGGTCTTAAAAGCTTGCAAGCGTTCATCTAAGATGCATCAATTGTCCCAACCACCTGGAGTAAAGGAGAATGAAGAACACCAAAGACACAAGGAAAGTAGCAGCCCAAGAGACAGAAAGGGCCACATAAAACAGAGACTTCACCAGCCTGAGAGCACAAGAACTAGTCTGTGCCCAGCTACCACCATGACAGCTCTGACAGGGAACACAACAGAGAGTCCCTGACGGAGTAGGAGAAAGGTGGGGTGCAGAACTCAAATTCTAGTAAGAAGACCAGACTTAATGATCTGGCTGAGACTGGAGGAACCCCGGAAGGCACGGCCCCTGGATTCTCTGTCAGCCCAGAAGTAAAACAATTTCCAAGGTCAGCTCTTCAATCAGGGATTGGACTGGACTGTGGGACATAAAGTGATACTTGTGAGGAGAGTGCCTCTTAGCTCAAGTAGGTACAAGAGACTAAACGGGCAGCTTCTGTCCGGAGGTGAGATGGGAAGGCAGAGAGGGTTAGGAGCTGGTTGAACGGACATGGATAATCAGGGGGAAAGGAAGTGTGTGCTGTCACAGTATGGGGAGAACAATTAGTTTCACATAACAGTGTATGTATTAATTTTTGTATGGGACTAACTTGAAATGTAAACTTCATTTAAACTACAACAATAAGGAAAAGAAAACCCTGTGGAGCAGCTGTACTCTGTAACACATGGGGTTGCCGTGAGTCAGAATCAACGTCGGCAACAGGTTTGGTTTTTGTTTTTATGCCCCCTCATTTTACAGGCAAGGCAATGGAAGCTTGGGAAGGGTCATTCCTAGGGTCTTATAATATCTCCATGTCACAGAGATGAAGACCCAGCATTCCAGGCACTGCCTAGACTGGTGATTATACAGCAGTGTCAAAGAAAAGGTGCTACCCTATAGGAACTTGCCAGTTTAGAGACACTAAGGAACTTGCCCAAAGGCACTGGTTATGAGGAAGGGCTGGGATGCAAATCAATTCTCACTCCGCCACACTTCACAGCATTAAAACAGGGAGTTTCTTAGGCAGAAAAGATATTTTTAGAGAGAGAAGGAAGAAAGCAGCCAACATAAGGGGGGAAAACTGGAATTCTCTGCAAAGTGGGAAACCTGTGTACCCCAAGGTCCAGTCTCTCTGGGGTTAGTGAGCATCCTGGCCCTTTATGTACCTGAAGTTTTCAATAGCCTAGGGGTATTTTCACTACAGTAATATATCTCACCATGTAATGAGAAGGAATGAGAAATCAGTTTCCACTTAACAAGTTTAAAATATACTCAAGTGTGAAGACTGCAATAATGCAATATTTATTTTATTTATGTTTATTTATACATACAGTATTTATTTTATAAAGATGGAAAAGTTGCAATATTTACCATAGTGCCCGGCATACAGGTGCTCAATCAAGTATATGTATATATGTCAGGCATCAAATAAAAAAATTTTATGTGAAATTACTCATAAATGTATACATACATGAGTATGAACACACACACAGACACACACACACACACACACTCTTATTTCTAATTCTGCCTGGTATATGGTTGCAGTTTTCAAAGTCTTAAGCTCACCTCACATGACTTAAACTACCGATGAGTCTATCCACAGCATTTGCACACATGGACCTGCAGAATCAAACCAATAAAACTGGTGGTTCAAGTGGTAGCAAATCAAGCTTTCTCCAACACATCAGCAAAAGTGACAGCTGCCTTCTTCCCTCTGTAGCAGGGGCCTGTAACACCCATAACTACACCTTCCAGTGAACTTAACTCTTGACTTTCAAACCTAAAGAGAATCTACCCCTGATCCAACCACCCGCTCACATTTGGTTTCATTCCTTTACACGTCTGTAGATGTATGGTGATGTCAAAGTTGCTGAATAAAGCCACAGAGCAAGGCCTGTGTATCCTCTGGAGAAATAAAATTGTATTAAAATAGACTTTCCTTCATAGAATCTGTTTAAGACAAAGAATAACAGCAATGTAAATTTAGAAACACTTGACCTACTAATAATTTAATGATTTAAGAAACCACAGAGAAAGTGGCAAATACATTGCACCGGGGAATATCTGCATAGGTGTGCTTGGAAACCTGAAATGTAATTTCAAAAGTGAACGTGTGCATTACACATTTTCAATATTATCAAGCAAAATAATTTTTATATGAATTTAATAAAACAGTACAACCAGTGAAATCTTGATTAAAAACATTAATGTGATTATGCTGGCCAGAATCAACATTTAGAACTTTAAAGGTGAAACACAATGGATTAACCAGATAAAAAATCTTTAAATGCTCTACTTTTATATGAAGTTTTAACAGTGGATAATACTGCAGGGACCAATGTTCTTATGCTGCAATAGTACTTAGAGGTTAGCTGCTACCAAATGTTTATCCATGCCATAATTTAGATACTGGGGCAGGGGGCACAGAATCTTTGGCAGGTGGGCATCACACTAATTTGTCCAGGCAAACTCCAGCAGGCGGTGCTGTCAGCTAGCTGATTCTCCCCTGCCATCCCCAGGGGATGGTCTGCCTTAAGAGTGTCCTCTCCTCTTGGCTCGTCATGCACTTTCCTTGCTTTCTCTGGGAAGTGGGGACAGAAAGGCTATGTCTCCCTATGTGTTCCTCTCCCATGAATCAAACTACACATATGACTAGCAAATTAGAGACTGTCTTAGTTATCTAGTGATACTATAACAGAAATGCCACAAGTGGGTGGCTTTATCAAACAAATTTATTTTCTTATAGTTTAGGAGGCTAGAAGTCCAAATTTAGGGGATCAACTCTAGTGGGAGGCTTTCTTCCTCTGTCGGCTCTTGGGGAAGGTCCTTGTTTCTTTTCAGCTTCTATTCCTTGGCGATCATGGTGATCTTCATTGTGGCATGGCATCTATCTTTCCCCATCTCAGCTTGCTTAATCTGTTCCTTTTATATCTCAAAAGAGACAGACTCAAAACACACCCTATGCTAATACTGCCTCATTAACATAAAGAAATTCCATTCCCAAATGGCATTATAACCACAGGTATAGGATTTACAACACACATTTTTGGAAGACACAATTCAATCCATAACAGGGATCTTCTTGGAAAATACTTTTATATAAAAAATAAGCACTTTATTCTCAGTAATACGACCTCGTTTACAGAATACAGAATGTAGAAACCTGTATCATTTGAATGCACTTGCGCTATCTCATTGCTCTCGACATAGAGGCGGAGTACAATGTGGGTCTGTCACAGAATTTTCCTTACCTGAGACTCTGGACCATCTTCAGCTTCTGGCACAGCTATGTGTTTGTCACTGTTTTCTTCATCTTGTTCAATTGCTTTAAAAAAAAAGTTGAGAAGACTGAAAAACATGTAAACACTGAAAATTAAATCTGAAGTAGCTATTTCTTTAAAAAAAAAAAAAAAAGAAAGAAAGAAAAGGAATAATATTAAATAAATGTATTAGAATTCATTAGAAAGGTGTTTCAGATAATTTTCTTTCAGATAGCAATTTGGCAGAAAAATATAATTGAGGTAGATTCATAAAATGTAAATATGAGCATTATTTTTTGTTATTCAGATGAAAAATTAATACCACTAGGCATGTTCCATGTACATTATTTCATTTATTAATTTAATGGCATGAAAATACTTAATCTCAATTCTCCTCTTCACCTAAGCCCATCCAGACATCTTTGTATCAGTATTGAGCTTCACCAAAGTGGGAGATGGGCTATACATGAAGGCTTCTATCACTTTCACGTGAAAAGTCATATTAAAATATATATATATGAATATATATATATATTGCTGTTGGTAGTTGCTGTTGAGTCGATTTCGACTCATAGTGACCACTCATGACAGAGTAGAGCTGTGCCATAGGGTTTTCTTGGCTGTAATCTTTACAGAAGCAGGTCACTGGGTCCTTCTCCTGTAGAGGGGTTCAAATAACCAACCTTTTGGTTAAGCACTGTTGTGCCACCAGGACTCCTTGCGTATGTGTGTGTACAATATAGTATAAATATACATATATATGCATTGCTTTTACTGACAGTTTAAATTTCATATTACAAAAGAAGCACAATATTTCATATTTGGATTACTTGGTGCATTGCCACCACAAAATCCCAAACTGTGGAGTCTTGAATCCACCTCTTCTCCCATATTTCCATAGCAACTCTCTATCCAAGTCCTTATCACCCTTTCTGCACTGGTACAATAACCTCTTACACAATCTTGATTCCAGCTGCTCCCTAATCCAATCCAATTTGGACACAACTGCTAAGAAAATGAGTCTCAAAAAAACATAAAAACAACATGTGCCATGCTTTGGCCTATTGATTGCTTACTGTACCGAGTTTGAACCTCTCTGCTTCTCACTGAAGTTCTTCTCTGAACTCTCTAGCTTCCTCCTAATCTCCAACTTCACACTGACACTGAACACCAAAACATGTATTACCTGCCTCTGATCCAAGCACAATGGTTTGATTACTTTTCTCTTTATATTTATTGAGCACCTATTATGCACCTGACACTGGGATGACTCCTGTGAACAAGACAGACAAGATCCCTGACGTCATGAAGCACACATACTAGTTGGGGAGACAGTGAACAACAAGTACTACTACAACTAATAACAATAACTAAAAAAACGGAATAATTAAAGGTCATGAAGAGAGTCTTAAAGGAACAAATGGAGAAATGAGAAAGAACTGTGAAAGGAAGGTCATTTTAGACAGGAAGCCAGAGACAGCGCTTCTTTGAGGTGATATCTGGGCTGAGAGCTGAAGGCTGAGATGGAGCCAATAATGGCAGGAGAGAGTTTGAGAAAGCCTAGAGGGTGTACATGCCCTGGTAAGCCCAGATTTTCACCTGAGAACATAGGGAACCACTAAAGGATTTTCAGAAGGGAAGTGTGTAATTTGATATACGTTTTCAAAAGTGCTCTTTGGCTTCTTTGTGGAGAATGGGCAAGAGTGGGAGCAGGGAAGCCAGTTAGTTAGGTGACTACTGCTATCATCTTGCCTAGAGATGTCAATGGCTCAGAACAGGCAACGAGCTGAAGGGACGCGGAGGATCTGAGCTGTATTTTCAGACAGAATGAGTACCACTTGCCAATGAACTGAAAACAGGAAGAGGAAGAAAGGGCGATAAGAGAGAAGACGCCATCAAGGATTACTCCTAAATAGAATAGGTTATTCCTTGTATCTACCATACTATTTATTCTCTTTACCCTCTTGGTCAAAAGCAGGCCCAAAACACACCAACCTAGCTGACAGTAAGCTTACCTGCTATACTTATGGATCCAGTTTGCATTATTTTGTGTACTTTTAAATACTGTGCTCTCTGCTGTGTATTCAAAAAAAAAATTATTTCATGTACCTTTTGCTTTTATACACCTTTTATGCCTACAATGTGGCACTTACCATGGAGCCCACCTACAATGCTGTGTACACAGTACAAGCTCTGTAAATGCTAACTGGGATGAACAATTCATCCCCCAGTGACCAAAATGGCATTACCTGATTATACCTACTTACATAAGCTACTTCTTTTTCAAATATTTATGAATACAGAGGGGAGGGAAATTCTTTTGTTAAATTCCACGGATAACTAGGATAATTTCCACCAGCTGAGCCTTTAAAGGCAAGGTAGAACAGTGGAAGTGGGTGGATGCTTTTCTTCTATTTTCAGCAAAAAGTTTCATTCCGTTGTTCACAAGGGGATCCGCATGCTTCCCAGGCTCTGCTGCTTCCTGGAAGTCAGGGTCTGCCTTTTTTCTTTTTCCTCATCCTTCACACCCACTATTCTCCTTAATGCCCCAGCAAAAGAGCAGGGAGGGGTGTCCCCACCCACAGGGCACCAACTGCCAGAGTCAGCTGGGTGCCCAGCCCTCACTGGGCTCCTCGGAGCACTGTGTTCGAGGGGCTCCGGGCTATCAGAGCTGGCCGCCGCTGTTGCCATCTTCCAGCTGCTGCCCGATGGCCTACAAGGGGCTGGCTTGGTAGGCTGGGCTGGCCAGTAGCGCCTGGAACTGGGCTATTTCTTCCTCAAGGAGCTGAAGCCTCTGCACAGCGCTCATCTGGATGAGCTCAGCAGGCCTGGGCTTGCTGGTCACTCATCTCCTGGACTGTTGCAAGCTGCCACCACTCTCCAGCACAGCCACCTCTGGTAGGGCCTCCATCAGAGGGTGCAGGTCCTCTACCACCTCCATGGCCCTCAGCCACTGCACCTCCCAGTGCTTCTGCTCAGCCAGCTTGAATGGCTTCTATCTTTTGCAGCCACCTCTCCAGTCTGAGCTTCAGCTTTTCCTTCTTGGGCGAAAGACCCTTTGTCTTTGCATTTCTCTTGAGGGAAGCGACACTCCTCGTGACCAGGTCTAGCTTCTGCACCAAAGCACTGAGGTCTGTCTCTGTCTTGGTCCTGGCAAGGATGTTTGTACCCATGGATGCCCAATCCTTTCTCCCAGTTTTGCCGCTAGAGGGCTTTGGCTGGAAGGCTCCTGGGCTGGGGGCATGGGGCCAGGTGTGACCTCTCTGTTGGGCCTTGTGACTGCCAGGTGCACCCAGGACCCCAGGTCCCTCACTTTCCCCATCTCCCTGGCAGAGACCCATGGCCACGCGGAAACACGCCGCAGAGCCTGCCCTGTTGCTACCGTTGCCCCAGTTAGAAGGAAACTTAGAAATAAAGAAAAACGTTCATGTTTTTGCAGAAAAAGTAGAGGCAAGAATGCAAACAGAAAATTAAAATATAAAATAGCATCCTAAAATCCACTTAAAAATGTAATGGATATAAGTAAGGAACTTCACTTATCCAATTGAAGTAAGAAGTCTTTCCTTGTCCTGTAATGGAGAGTAATTTCCTTGGAGGGCAATTTGATAATACACTGATGCAAAATAACTTCATCTAAAATACCAACCATGCCCTGGCACTTGATTTAGGCTTTATTTGAATTTTTGCTTTTTAAAGTTTTAGAAGACATTTTGGACTATTTCTTGCCTACTAATTAATTCTTCACTGGTCATTTCATGTTTTTGTTTTTAAAACAACAATGTTCTAGGTATGAAAAACCAAACCAAACCTGTTGCTGTTGAGTCAATTCTCTGACTCACAGCGACCCTACAGGACAGAGTAGAACTGCCTCATAGGGTTTCCAAGGAGTAGCTGGTGGATTCGAACTGTTGACCTTTTGGTTAGCAGCTGGGCTCTTAATCACTACACCACCAGGGCTCCATCCTAGGTATCCCAAACCCAAACCCCCTGCCATTGAGTCGATTCTGACGCATAGCATTCCCAGAGGCTGTAAATCTCTAGGGAAGCTGACTGCCACATATTTCTCCTGCGGAGCAGCTGATGGTTTCAAACCATTGACCTTTTGCTTAATAGTCGATTGCCTTAACCACTGCATCACTAGGACTCCTTATTCTAGGTACAGGCATTTCTTATTCTTACCTTGTTATACTAAGGCATAGAACAGGCAGGACAATGAATAACAATTTCAAGACTGAGATTTAAGCATAGTTCTTAATATACATTGTGGTGCAATGGGTTCCTCTTTGTATATGGCCTTTCTGATCTTGGGTTTATAATTCTGCCAAAATAACAGGCTGGGCTACAATCTTGCATGGGATTGGTTTGTTTACCATGCAAATAAGGTGCCTGCAGCCTACCTACGGGATTGGTCAGTTTTGCCATCCTGCTAGGCTTAATAGGACCAATTCCACAAAGGTTGAGGGGGACCTCACTACCATCAAGAAGAGTCTAGAGCAGAGTGTGTATTTTGCACCAAGGCCCTGGGGTCCTCACACAGAAAACCCACTAGATCCAGGAGACAGCTGTAACACTGGAGACAGTACAAGATGGTGCAAGCCGGCAGTAGCAGTACGAGCAGCGAGAAGCAGGAGACTGGTGCCAGATGGCTGCAGTAGCCTTCCTGGCTCACAGAATGAGTTGGCTGCAGTGGGCTTGCTGACTCACAGAGCAAGAGACCTGAGCACCGTCAGGCAGGAGGCTTGCTGGTGGAGTGGGGTGCCTCGAGGCACTTGACATCAGAGCCAAAAGAGCTGTAATACTTGCCCTTGCCTACCTGACTTCACAGCCCCACCTGAGCAGAGGCTGGGGGAAGAGGCCAGAGCACAGCCTGCCTGTGGGCACGGCCGAGAAGGAGCGAGAGCTGTCTTGGTTGGAAGCTATCGTGACTGATGAACTGTATCCTGTCTCCTGAGTTGTTCCTGTTACTTCCAGGTTGATCCTGATCCTGAATTATAACCTGTTACTTCCCTAATAAACCCCATAATCATGAGTATGGTCTGCGAGTTTACGGCCATTTTAACAAATT